TGAGTGAAAGGATGAAATTTGAAGAATGAAAAATTATATATTCAATTTCCTTTTAATAATATATGTACATGTACATGTACATGTTGTATGTAGAATTGTAGATTTGTTAATATATAGCCTACAGGCTTTTGTGTGTTAAGATTATTATAGAAATTTTTTACATAATTTCTAAAAAATTCACTCTAGATCATATACTTCACAGGAAGTAAACAAAATACTTGAAGATTGTGTCGCGACTCAAGTGTTAGATCTATGAATGTTGCAGAATCTCAAGAAGTGATATAATTGTAAAACATTGATCACTGTCCACAATAGTGTATACAACCTGTAACATGCACACCGTAGTTCTACTATTTTTTATAAATAACGTCACCTGGGTAATCAATTTTGGGGGAAAATAGAAATGGAAAAATGTCATTGCATGAATCATAATCATATAGATTTTTTTGTTTAATATTATTAGATAGAAAAACTTACTATTCTACTGGTGGAGTATCTGAAGACTCTTTTCTAATTTCAATTTCTTACTCCCTCTAGAAAAGTACAGTAACTGAATAATAGGATTTTTCATTCATAAAACATAATTTGATTTGTGTTTGGTTAATTTTTAATCAAGTTAACCATCATTTATGACTTTACATGAAACTCCAAACTAAATGTACATGGATAGGCTTGTTTTATGCAATCTTTCAAACTTGAAAATCTAAGTTAAATCTTTAAAGGTACTTAGTAACATTGTGATGGTTGATTTCACAAATCTGTTGAATCAGGATGCAAAACACGTAAAATTATGTTTGTATGTATGGATTATCCAACTACGATGCCCCAAATCCGAAATTAATTCACGCAATATGAAGATTTTTAACAAAGTTCAACAGGTTTTCGAACGGGCGTCGATGTGCGGCGCTTCTGAATTTACATTCTCCCAACCATTTTTTGAATTTTCCCAACCGTTTTTCCATGAAAAAAAGACATAAAAACAGGCTATAAAAAAATGTGTCAACACTAAAACGTCTGGAATGGAATGTAGAGCCATTTTATTGCTTTGTGAGATTTCCATTCAACTAAAATGTCATTAAATTGTAATAATATAGTTGGGAGAATTAAGGAATCGATCAGATCAGTTTTTCCCCATTTGTACCATGAATATTGGTCCGTTTTCGCTCAAATTTTCAGATTATCTTTAATTGTACATCTAGCATTGAAGTCAATGCCTTAGCACCACTATCTCTCATCTGAACAATGTTACAAAGTCCCTTTAAGACTGGGATAAGATATGTCAATGCTCAAAGAACAATTCAAGATAAAAATTTGGGCCCCCACCCCTGAATGTTAATAATAAATATTAACACTATACAAATCAGCCCATCTTTTAAAAGTGCTTGCATTGAACTTAATTTATGACTCTTACAGTGTACACTCAACAGACTTCATTTTTATTCACGGTACAGAGTTACTCATATTCAAAGACTTGATTATTAACATTCATCATTCATCAGTTTTAAACATAACTAGACAGAACTTTTTTTTGTAAAAATCATCAATAGTTAAACATTTTTCCTGAAATACAAGACTTTTAAAAGGGCTGTTACATGTGGATCTTCTCTCATATGGTTTATCAATACATTTTACTCTCAATGACATACCTGTATCATACATACATATTTAATACACTTCTTGCTTCATGTATGTAGCTTAGAGCATTACCTTTTCAATAAGTTTTGTTAAACATGGGCTACAAATACATTTCCCTTGAAACAACTTTTTCAATTCCACCTTTTCCTTTGTTTTATGAACTGCATTCTTTCCAGATGTCGGGCTTAGCGCAGCAATTCCTGTACATCTTTGGCAGACTACAGGAAAGCCCTGAAACCAACCGTGAGGAATCAGACGAATCAGAGATTGATATCGACAGTTTGGAAATCATAGAGCCGATAGAGGAAGTATGTGAGGTAATGAGCGAGGTATCATGCATTTAAAGGCATCGTTTAACAATAAAATCTGAGATGCATGACCCAATGAGAAGTGACTGTGATATGGTGTAATATTGAAGCCCTAAAAAAACTGCGCTTCAAAATGATCATGTAGTGCCACAAAAAAGTAAAAATCTTTGAGTGACCGGTTTTACCATACTCAATTTCCCTAATAGACTGTAGTGTTATAAAAACCGTTATGAAAAGAAATTTTTAAATTTTGATTTCCAATCATAAATATCTTGATAATCAAACAGGCGATCGGCTTGTAAAAGTCATGGGGTTCTTCACTGACCTAAAAGTTTATAATTATGATTGCAGCATGAGCTAAATCCATGATTTGTTTCAGAATCTGAGACAAAGTTAGCAGATCCCTTTAAAGATTCCATGCATGTGAGAAAAGAGGAGTGCTATTTGTACCTGGGTATAGTAATAGTAGGCAATGTGACTTTGTCCTTGTTAGTGTCTTTACAATTACTACCATTCTGAAGCTTTTTTGAGGACTTTTGTAATTGCAGAGTTTTTCATAACAAAATAAGAAATATTATCTAATAATCTTACAAGTTTCTAAAGTTATTACAACTTAATCAGTGTCTGTTTCACTTGTTACTAATCTTTTGCATAAAACCTATGTATGTTATTCAAAGTTTTGCATGGATTAGACTGTATTTAATACTAACAAGTTACATATCATTTTTTTTTAAAGGGAAGAGGGAAACCAAAAGAAAGAGAAGAAAAGAAAAGAAAAGGAAGGGGACGAGGAGGAAAACAGAAAGCAAGGAGAAAGAGAATTATAAAAATAAAAAAAGATAGAGAAAATAAAGAAAAATAAAGAAAAAGCAAGAAAAAGCGAGCCAAATCAGGCGATTAGATTTAGACGAGTCATTATTACATTCACATTAACGGAATTTCAAACATTGTTTTACGATGAAAAACCTTTCACCAACTGAAGAAAAAAAAATCAAATTAATCCCTTGTATAGATCTCCTAAACCTTATGGCTGATTGTTCAATGGAAACAACACATTCATCTATAACAACCCTTCTAAAAAATATGGTGACACCCCCCCCCCCCCCCCCCCCCCCGCCGCGTTCTTGTTCTTGTTAGTTGAACTTAAGACTGTTTTTCTTTAATTTAGTAAAAGAGTGTGCACCAAATCAAGCCATTTATGCATCAATTAAAAAAAAAATCTTCAACTTCTGAGGAAAGCACCTCCCCCCTCAGACACCCCCCTGCATGGCACGCCCATTAGGCCCCCCCCCCCCCTCCAACAAAATAACCAGGCGCCGCCCCTGGCTTTCCATGTGTAGTAGGTCATAATTCACAGACACCAGACTTGATGGAAAAAAGCCTTTGCCCAGGTTTTATGATTTGTATCATATTGCGTGCATGACATTTCACAAAATCTGTTATAAACTTTGAAGAATTGATACTATTTTCTGTATGTTGTATAGCCTATAGGCCTATTCATAATCATTTATTTTTTACATACATGTATGAAGTTTGTCGAACTTCACATTTTTTCATGATTTATCTGAAAAAGAATTAATCAATATTAGTGTATCCTAAGGCTGTGCACAACCATGTAATGAGGTACCCGAGTACACTCCCAGGATTACAAGCGAATACTCGAATATTCGGGCGCAATGTTTTTTTTTGCCACCACCATACCACGGGAGCAGTATCCCAGGGCCGTCTCCGAAAAACTCATGCAATTTTACTTTGAGTTGCAGTTGAAGACGCCGATTCAATAATAATAATAACAGTAAACTATGCTGTTTTAAAAACAAAAGATGGCACAATAATCAATTTTCTTCCGAGTCCAAACAGAAATCCGGACATTTAGTCCCAGTTTCTGAGTAGTGAGTTTGACTGATTGAGTTGGGAAACATTTTTACCGACGGTACCATGCCAGCGGACGCCGCTGCGGACGCCGCTCTCCCTGGCACGGGTAAGCGTCGGCCCGGACAGTGCCAGGTGACCGGGATTTAAAATTTTTTTTTTTTGAATGTTCGAGTAAGAGAAATCGTACTCGAGTAGTTGTCAACAGTGCGGGTACTCAAGCATTCGACTACTCGTCGCAGCCCTAGTGCATCCACACAAATACACTATCAATATTGTTTGGCGTTCAACAATAAGGGATAGAGCAACGTCCATCTGGCGCTGCTCAGTGGCTGCCGGGCTCACGATCAATTGGGCAAAAAGAATTTCCGTTTCGGTTTAATAAAATTTGGAGTGGACTATTAGGCTATTATTATTATTATTATTAATATGACTTGGATGCTGGTGTGAGGAAATGAGATTTTGTGAGGGGAAACTGCTGCACAATACAATTGCATACCGTACGGACGGTGGAATGCGGGTGCGCACACGTGTTAAGTTACGGTGGCTAACTTAACGCCCTCGCCCGCACCCCACCATTGGTACACTGACTTTACGGTACGCATTTGTACTGCATGTGAAGCAGTTTGCCATGAATCCTAGTTTGAGAAAGTGTATTATAAATCTTTGGTTTTAGGAAAAATACTCCAAAAAAGATGAGAAAATTTACACGAAACAGGTAAGAAACACAACGACTTTTAAATCATGACAATTATTTGTACAATTGATGAAGATTTGGTCGGTTTTCGTTAAGTTTTAGTAGAGTATCTCCACGCCGGAGCTACAGGTCAAAGTTTGGATATGATTCTGAACTACCGGCTTTTTGTACCGCCCATATTTTTGCTCGATACCAAATGAATTGGCATTGCCCAATCTGAATCTAGATAATCTTCACTATTTTTTTTTAAAGGATGAACTAAAAGTATACTATTAAACAGACACAGCTGAGTATATAACAAACGGTCGACTCATGTGACTCCCAGTCATTCTTTATCTTCATACATGTAATTCATATCACACTGTACACTGCACAGCGACAGTGGACATCATTCAATTTCAACGTCAACATGAACGGTCATCATCACCCGACACATAGATCTAGTCACAGTCGCAGACGTAGACACAGGCTTAAATTCACAGACTTACCGTAAATTTTCCAAAGAATGGACACTTTTCGGTTTGACAGGGCCGAACCACCCTTTCGATTTTGAAAGCATAGTGCTGGACTTCAACACTATGTATCTGTAGAACAGATGGAGTGCTTAATTCTATTTTTTCGTTGTAGAACAAGCCTCTGATTTCACCGGATTTGTGATGATAGTACAGTAGCTCATTCAGCTGTGGTCTTATGGGCCATACTGTAAAACAGATTTAGCCTAATTGCAGACGTTAGCAATAATTAAATGTAAATTATTCGATAATATGTGATACTTGCAACAATTATGATTATGATGGTGGTTATTATGATGATAGTGACGATTACAATATTCACCACAACAACAATAACAATAATAATATAAATATTACAATAATAAGTGATGATAATAATTATTAGTAGTAATTATATGAACATAATGAAAGTGATGAAGATGATAATGGTAGTACTAATATATCTTGAAATGTCACGTTTAGAATAAGAGCATGAAGGGCCTCTAGATGATTTTGCTTCGAGTTCTTTTTTCTTATTGAAGTCTCCATCAAAAATTTCCCAAGAAACTGAAGAAAGTAAAGGAACACATGCAGTTTCAGGATAGTTACCCCTGGACAATCGGAACAATCACTCCTACAGGACATTTGCCCCCTGGTAAATTACTCTCAGACGCGGATTCAGGATTTCTTAGGGTGGGGGCCCAAATTTGAAATCAATTTTAAATTTAGTGTGCTGAAATATGAAAATCTTGCCGGCCAATATTTCGCTTAGTGGGGGGGGGGGGGGGGGGGGGGGGGGGGGGGGGGAGTGAGCACTTTTTTTTTGTTTGGCCCTCGAAAATTTGAAAAATTGCACCCCCTTCCCTTGAGCGCGAGAGGGGGGGGGGCATCTCCAAATGAAGGTAGAATTAACGTTAAAAAATGTAAAAATACACATTTTGATCCCCCACTGATTACTCCCCGGAAATTCATCCCCTAGGCCTACCCCCCCCCCCCCAACAAAAAAAGAGGACAATTACCTCTTCCCCCTCGGAAAAAAATCTGCTTTTATTAAAACCTAATTAATATAACAGGGTGCATAGACCTGGGGGGGGGAGGCAGGACGTTAATTGTCTTATTTTATGGTTTTTAGGTGTGGGTGTGGGAGGGGGAAATTGTCAAAGGGGGTAATTTCCCCGGGGGGGGGGGGTAATTGTCCTCAGGGTATTTATCCTGATACGAAGGAATAAATCATACGCCAAAATAATGTACAACTACAAGCAGGTAAAAATAAAAACAATCATAAAATTCACAATATTCACAATGATGCACTGCATAAACTATAGTATAACCCCACCCCCCCCCCCCTCCCAACTCAGTGTTATTTATAAGGGTTCGCATATGCAAGTTGTCTTTATTATATTACGAGGGACGACTGAGCCTTTTTGACAAGATTTCATGTGTTTTTTAAGTGAAACTTTGCATTATACCGTGTGAGTCCCAAAAAAGTTTACACTAATTAGAAAATCTTACGGCAGATGTGTCAACCAATAGGCCTACCCACTGCTTGCAAAAATACATTAGTTAACTGGGCAACAATAAATTGCATTACATCATACGAACATTTTTTAAAGCGGTTGGTGTATAAGGTGTGTTTCCTTCTATTTTTAGAAAACTTGTGATAAAATCAATATTTCCTGCCGTCTAAAGATACCTATGTTTATGGGAGGGAAGCAACTTAAAAATGTCCGTCATTTAGACGTTTTAAAAGACACATGCAGTACTATAAACTTGACTTTTTTTATTCAGCCTTTAAATTTAGTAGTAAATATAGTAAATATAGACCCCAAAAGTCCAAAACACAAAACGTAATAGGCCCGAGAACATTACCCTTATAAAGCGTGATTTTGGACTCAATGCCTCTTGTTTTTGTTCATGTTTCCCCCTTAGATATTCTTCCTCCTTTTTAAGGAAAGGGGGTATGCCGGAACTCTTGACTAATATAGCCCCAAGCCGACACCATTATGTCAGTGTTAATATTGATATTAAATAACAATTATACCTTACATTATTACAAATAAACCACATAGATGCCCAAACTTAGTTTATGGCGGCTCAAATATTGGTAATATAAGTAGCCCCCCCCCCCCCCCCAAGCACGTACGCATGCGGGGGGAGGGGGTTGGACCCCCCTCAATTTCTTTTACGTGTGTGATTTTTGATGACCCCCCCCCCTTTATTTATTTATTTTAATTTAAAAAAAAAAAAAATCAAAGATAAGATTACTGTCTTTTACAATGATCGCATTACCAACTCAACTTTACCTTTAAAATTTTTACATGCTTAATTTCATGGTGGCATTTTTAGAAGTATAAGTCCACAAAAAGTTTAGGCGCTGGTTTTAATCACCAGTCATTTCGATGGCGTGCGCTGAACGAAATATCGGGCGGAAAAATTTTGAAATTTCTAGACCCCCCCCCCAAAAAAAATTAAAAAATGTGTTCTCAACCCCCCCCCCCCCCCCCCCCCCCCCCCCCCCCCCGCTTATTCAGCGGCTGGCTAAGTCGTTGCGAAATTTTCGGCGCGATTTAAAAATGTTAAACCCCCTCCCCCTTGGAAAAATCCTGAGTACGCATGGGGGGGGGGGAGTTTTTGGTGTTTAACACCCCCTCAATGATTCTGTCAATGGCGCCGCCCAACAAAAAAAAAAAGTTAAAAAAGCTTCTTTTTTTGTTGCTCAAGGACAAGGGGTTGGGTGTTGAGTAAAAAAAGGTATACACTACCCCCACCTCCCCCTGTCGAAAAAGTTAATGATGCAATCCTATTTTAAAACTCCCCCTTCAGAAATTCCTGCGTACGCCACTGAGACCCCCCCCCCCCCCCCCCCCCCCCCTCGGGCGGTAAATTTCAGTATTGTCGTTCTATTCGTTTAGACCACAGAACTGTGGTTGAGACTAGTCAGAATGACGTCTCTGTTGTGCCGTATGGCTCAAGGCTGGTAATAACATCGTAGTCTTCACAGATTCTACACGCCCATCATGCATGGCAGAGGGGCTAGTATTATTATAGCTAACCTAGCTAGCTCACTACCCTCAGCTAGCGGCGGCGAGTGCGAGCTAAATACTGGCGCCTGAGCTGACAAGACGTACGGTCGAGAAGTAGCGGAGCTGCATTACTAACTCAGCTAGTAGACTACCTGTATTTGCATGAAAGCATCAATATTTAATTGATCAAATATTGTTGTCTATTGTCGACGGTCCAATGGCCTTTGCTTCCACCAAGAAATATAGTATGGGTATTACGGTAAGTAATTCAAAAGGAAATAGGATCTCTAGCTCCACCATCCATCATTAGCCTAGAAGTCTAGGGCCCTAGGCTAGGCTACTAAATTTTTGACCATGGACCCTACTAGGGTCCATGGTTTGACTCTGCTCTGCCGTTTGCTTGCTGGCTGGCTGGCTTCACGCATCAAGGAGCAACGTCGCCTGAATCATGAATTTTTACTTCTTTTGTTGTTGAAATAAATTTCTGCTTCAGGTACTGGAGATAACTAAACTTCATTTTCTTTTCTGAAGTGTTGTGAAAGATTTCAAAATGTTGTGTGATTGTGTCATTTCAATTCATGTCAAAAAGAGATGGAGTCAAATTTCAAAACTTATCTTGAGTTGCATGAGACTTGATTAATTGAGTAGAAAGTAGAAATAGAATCTAGGTAATTACTAAAGACATTAGATGATGTTGCATATATTGTATGCACAGTGTATATTATCAATGTTAAATCATAGAATCTAGAAAATATATGAAAATAAATATTATAGTTCTAAGCCATTAGCATGCTCCCATTCACACAACCTATTGAATCATCATTGCTAATAATTTGTTTATATTCATTTCTATGCAGACTTTCTTCAACAACTCTGCATGAAATGTGACTGTTACACCTGCATGAACTGTTTCGTCTATCCACACCCCTACCCTTTTAAGAAAAAATAATCAAAATTTGTTAGCTTGCATGATTGAATCGTAACTTGACAAAACTCTCTGTTGCTCAGAAAGTATACTCCAAAAAAAAAAGGGAAAAAAAGAAGAAGCTTGCTTGATCTTCATGTACAAAGCCCTGCTTTCATCCGTCCAAAACCATTGTAAATTCATTTCAAGTCTCCCATCACTGAGAAACTTGGCTTACAGCATGTATTCATCTGCGACAAAGAAGCAAAAGACGGTTAGTATGATTGATAGTGAGGATGTGTTCATTCATTGGACTGGTTGGTGGATTGATTGATTGATTTTTTGTTATTATAATGATCATCATTATTATTATGGTTATTATCATGATTATTATGATTATGACTGAGTTTTAATGATTATTATTATTCATATTGTTATTATTATCAAATTGTTATTATTTATTTATTCATTACTTTATTTGGCATTTTCAAAACTTGTCAAAATATGGCAATCATTACATAGACCCAGGTGCAGGTGGCCTGGGAAGGAACAGTTCAATATTCATTGATTAATTGGTTAATCAATTGTCTAAGAAATTTATTGTTTGGTTGATCGATTGATTTGCTGATTGATTGATTTGTTGATTGATTGATCAATTAATTAATCAATTTAAGTGTCATGGTTCAGTGGCTTTATCACCAGACTGTAGTTCACATGGTTCTGATGTCTTTTGTCAGTACATTAATCTGCATTTGACACTCTCAACACAGGTGTAGTGGATACCTGGTTGTTTTTTGTTAAATGACACCTCGGTACCTTAGAGAAACTGGGCTAAAGCCAGGGTAATGTATTAAAGCCCCTCTGCACTAGTTTGGCATAGAGGGATTATTCCACCCTGCAAGATCACTGGCAGATGGTTATCTCATCAACTCAGCTCTCAATTAACATAAGAAAAGGGGGATCATGGGGGGATCATGGGGGACCAACATGCAACGATTAGGCATTGTTTGCTATATAGAGGGCGCAAGTAGCTATAAGTAGTGCAGTGGGGCTTTAAATGACCTCAGTACCTTTATAGAGGAACTGGGCTAAAGCCAGGGTAATGAATTAATAGGAATTTGTAGGCATCTAACCACACCTCCTCCCTGGAGATGAATACAGTATGTGCTCAGATAAACAGGTGTAAATGTAGCCATTTTTTTTTTTTTTATTGATTGATTGATGGTCTATGAAATTGAGGAAAAGCAGGGAATAATTTTCCTGGTATCGCATCGCAATTTGCTATGCATTTTTGCATGACTGCTATACAAAATATCTTTTGTGTAGCAGTTTTCTTCCATAGAAATGTACAGAATTTCATTTGAAATATTTATCCATCGGCTGAAATTGCTAATCAAAAAATTTGAGGAAAATTATTCCCTGGAAAAGAGAGTGAGAGTGAGAATAAGAGAAAGAGAGAGAGAGAGAGAGAGAATAAGAGAAAGAGAGAGAGAGAGAGAGAGAATGTGGAGAAAGAGCCATTGCATGCTTGCATAATATAGATAATAATTGACAAACTGCTGTACATAGATATCATAAATGTGCTGCTTTTTTGTGCGTGCATGCATGCATCTTCCCACATTTTCCTTGCGTAGCTTTTAATGCAAATGTTTGTTGCAGTGCTATATATTGAAATTGTTATCCATCTAATACAAAAATGATCTCTTTGACCAAATTTTAGCTGACTGTGTTTAATATGTTGGTTTGAGGTTGTACTCTTCTACTCTAAATTTACTGTGCTCTAAAACCATTGTTTTTTGTAACCTGAAGGGGAAGAAGCATGGTCGTTTACAACGCTAGAAACTTTTTATCTGACTCAGTATAATTATTCAACATGTACATTGTACTACTCTTTTTTTGTCATGAAATATTTTGCTGAGATAAAAATACCAGTAGTATGTATTATGCTGCAACTTTCTGGGTAAATATGCACCCCCCCCCCTTCCCCCCCCCCCCCCTGCCTTCCCTTTGAATAAATAATGCTCGCTTTGTCCCCATCGGTCACATGGCTCGTAACAGTAGGCCTGTCGTCATCAGCTCGAGATTGCCAAATATCCTGCTATTTCTGATTTGGGAAATAATACCAAATTTACAAATCGCGTCTTCATCAGCTCTAGACCACGAAACTTGAAACTCAAGCTCGAGATATTTTGCTCAGCGTTCGCGCATAGTGCGAGTCTTCGGGCTAGTGAAGCCGCACCGGACAAATAGCGGGATAACTAGCCCAAGATATCTTGGATTATTATCTCAACCAAATATTCCGCTAATTGCAACTTCGGGCTGATGAAGACGCAAATTTAATGGATAATTTGCGATCGGGATAGTTAAAATAGCGGGATATTTGGCAATCTTGAGCTGATGAAGACAGGCCTAATGAGCCCAAACTGGCAACATCAAGTTTGTTTTATTTGCCCTCTGGGTAGCTTAACCTCTCTGGAGGTCGACCCTCTGCGCACGACAGTTACAGAAATATCCAAAGGTCATTTAGTGCAATTTGGGCATGTCTGGCCAATTCATAAATCAACAATCATCTCTGGTGGTTTTACTCTAGGAGAGAGATGTCATAAGGTTAAAATGTACAAATTTATTATGAGTGTTTTGAGGATTTGGGGTCGTCAAAATCAGCAATGGTTTCTGGAAACTGCACAAATTCAGAAGAATTCTGAAAAACTCAGAAGAGCTCTGATCAAATATCTTAAAATAACCCCCTCTAAATGTTCTGCATTTCAAGTTTTACCATTGATATCACTCATGTTAGTATCTTATCATATTTGACGTTGGTATCATTGAAAAACCTGTTTATTCCCCTTTACAATGATGCCCCATTTGTAATGATTATGTACCGTAATCAGGGAATGTGTAGTACACCTGAATATGGGGCCATGTCAAAGTGAAATATTGCAAATTGCATTTTTATTGTCAATAGTGAATTCTTCATTTGTCGGGAGGATGGATTGTGTTTTGAAGGAATATATATAACATGCAATATTGCAATTTGCAACATTTTGCGACATCATTGTAAAGGGGATTAAACAGGCTCTTCTGTTCCTGGCAATATGCTGGCAGACAGACGTGGCATGAACATTTTACCTGAAACTATTCTATTTCACATTCATATGTGATCTGAAATCTACATGTATATTAATATAATGCATATTTGGAATTTCACTCCAATTATGTTGTAATTACTGAGAGAATATTTAGACAAGAATGTATGTAAGAGATATATGCCTACAACAGTACAGAATGTGGTATCTGTCAAAGTAGGAGAAGTGTGCAGACTATTATGTATAAGTATTTGCTATAGCAAATGGGTGGGACATATCCAGCCAGCGCCCCCTTTTTAAAAACCCATGTTACATACTCCAGATAGACAACCTCAACAATATGCCCCTTTCCATTTGAGATGATGACCTTTGCTTGTGCCCCTCTCTTTACGAAATCCTGGATTGGCCCCTGAGTAGTTAAAGGCTGTCAGTACTAGTTTGGCTAGGAGGGATTAGACCACCCAGGAAGGTCACTGGCAGATGGCTTTCTCATCAACTCAGCTCTCAATTAACATAAGAAAAAGAGGATCATGGGGGACCAATGGTCACTGATTAAGCATTGTTTTCCGTATGGAGGGAGCAAGTAGCTATAAGTAGTACAGTGGGCCTTTAATATATATATTCTTCTCTACCAGTACTCCTATTTTGGGTTATGTTTTCACATAGTAGATCTTGTTTTGCTCAGTTTCAGGACAATGAACATTATCTGGACTAATGAGGTCATGAGGTCGTGACATTCAGCCCTAATCTGTCAGTATAATCACAGATGGGCTCAGAAATGGAGCAAGTTTTCTTCTTTCTCCTTTTTTTTTTAGGGAGGAAGGGAGGGGGGGGGGGGGGGGGGGAGGGGTTCTTACCAAATCTTGTTTTCCTTGATTTAGACTGGGTGAACTACATAAATTGTCACTTTCCTGTAGACATTAAGCCTGTAGACATTAGGCCTGTAGACATTAGGCCTGTCGTCATCAGCTCGAGTTTGCCAAATAACCCCCTATTTTTAGACTCTGAATATTATCTCAAAGCTCAAAATTGCGTTTCCACCAGACCGATCCGCTCATCACAAACTAGCTAGGGCAGGCGCACATTAGCCCGCTATTTCCCAATTAGTGGGATATTTTGGAAACGACCAATATTTCTCTGGAAGTTGGAAGTTTTCTCGACCAAATATCCCGCTAACTGGCTAATTTGCGATCAGGATAGTTAAAACAGCTCGGTTATTTGGCAAACTCGAGCTGATGAGGACAGGCCTATGGTGTGACCTGTGAAAATTTAAAGGTCAGACTTGACTTCCGGAAAGGTCATAGAAGACAGAATCAACATGTCATGGTATGGGAATTTGGTCAAAATGGTCAAGGCAATCAAGAAGATACAGATCAGTCGTTTTCTGCTTTATTTATGTAACTTCAGGTTCCAGACCATTATGCATGCCTGCTTTTGAAACTTAAAGGAAACCAAAACCTTCATACTAAGTTACTTTTATTGTAAAGTTTAAGATATTTGAAAAATATCAGTGACAATTTGAACAAAATCGGGGCAAGGAATAAGGAAGTAAGATGGTTGGTTCTTCGTTTAGATGGCGCTCTTCAATCTCAAAGATTATTTGCGCCAGTCAATTTCGTGTATAGCTTTGGCGTGGGCTTCGGAAATCAAGCCCACAATTAATAGTGATATGGTTTTATAAAAAAAAAAAAAAAAAAAAAAAAAAAACGCTGCAATATTAAAATTGCATAAAATGCACATAAAAGGCGAGATGGGAGTTAGTTGCAATTGTTCATGGAAAAACCGCAAATACTTCATTTTATATATTATTACAGGATCGACATAAGTTAAGGGGATCCCTGATAGCTTTAAAAGCTATCTAAAACGATTAGTATCGTATATGTAACCCAATAATTCACGAGTAAAAATTGGGTTAGACATCAATAATTGTTTCAGATTGGGGTTGTTCAATTTAATCCTTTCTTTTAAGAGACGTCTATCTTTGTCGTATTTTGTACAATAGAAAATAAAATGTTTAATTGTTTCATCTTCTTGACAAACTTCACAAAGACCAGTATCGTGTTGGTTCATTTGAAAAAGGTAATAATTTAAACTACAGTTACCTACTCTTAGTTGTTGTATCAAGCATTCTTCTCTGCGAGATAGGCCTTGTCTATGTATGGGCTTTGAAACGTCGCTATGCAAAGCA